TAACCCAAAATTTAATAAAATATAATTATATTTCAATAATTTCATTAGAGCATTGTAGCTAATAAAAATCATAAAATGATATATACATTTCTCTATGAGCATCTGACACGGCAACGATTTACATATACATTCTCTTCTCACTCATTGTAAGTATAACAACTATATTATCATAATGAATGTTATCATTGAAAAAAATAAAAGATTGCGATAAAAAAGTAACTGCAGAGCAGATTTACATATTCTATATTACAATAACATAAAGTACATCGAAGAATAAATATTGCTATTGCTTAATACTTAAAATAGTTAGATAATTCTAATTAACATGTAAACTATTCATCAATATTATGTATATTTTTCGTAAATATTTATCAAAACTCACCAAAAGTCAGGCAGTCTAGAATAGTAGTAAATGAAGGCTAATCATTTTTCATTTTCCTTTTCCTTATTTTTATATAACATTATAATACAATGTCAGCAACGAGTATAAATTTTTACATATATAATTAAATGCAATTAGATAGAAAAGCAATATAGTCTATCAAATACTAATAAGGAGTAGAAATCACTCACATTCTAAATTTAGGTTTGTGTTGCTTCATTTTTACTTACCTCCACTTTCAGCATTGAATAGCACTTTTAACATCTTAAAAATATCACGAGTTAAAATATTTTAATTAATAATTGAGCTCATAATTTCTCTCACATGTTTATTTATCAATTATATTAAGTGTATATAATTATTATTAAATCCGCTCTCACTCTCTTAATTAGCTATTGTATTGCATATAAATAGCTCTTATTATTAAATTTATTAAATACTGATAAAATTTTATTCTCCTCCGCATTATCATTTAGGATCGATAATACAAAGCTCATATTTCGATTTATTATTAGTTTCTTAATAATTTCCTTATTAAATAATACCCATTCCTCGCGCTCTAATTAGACTAATTTAAATGTCACTTTATTTTTTTCAATATAATTATATTTAATCATAAAGCATTTATTTTTTACATCTAATTTTTATAATTAAATCTCATAGATATAACCAGTTTATTATATTACTTATTTATTTAAAATCTTAATATAACGAATATAAATTATGTGCTCCCTTTAATTAAAACACATATGCACATATCATTTAATATATATATTATATATATATATACATAATTAACTAATAAAATTTTCATTTTTAACATTTTCTAAATTATATTCAAAATATATTCATAATTTAATAATATCAAAATAGCTTACTAATTAAGATTTTTTATTATTATTATACCTAAATTATTTTTTTTATTTACAATTTAATTTTATTAATAAAAAAAATGAATTTCTTACCTTTTTTTCTCCATATGGTTGAAGTTGCTTGCTCCAGCCACTTACTAGCTCGTGCACTCACCATCTCTCTTTCTTTCTCGGTCTCACCCCATCTCCCTCTCCTTTCCTAATTTATAGAAACGAGTCCTTCAGTTTTCTTTGACTCCTCCGTCGTCTTCAGTCGAGGAAGCCGGCCACTGTAACAACATATTCAAACTCTTAACAATCGAGATATTATCCGCTTTGACCTAAGATCTCATGATTTTGTCATGTTGTTGTAGTTTCTCAGAAGGTCACCTATCTCAAAATTTCTCCGGAATGAACATGCTTAACTACTAAATTTCTTAGATAAAATTTCAACTATTACACCAAAGACTTCTCAAAGTTTAATAGTTTAACCCTATTTTTTAAGGGGTTTCACAGCCACGACCAACAAACCAAACGACATCGACATGCCTTCTTAATTCTTCTTGTCAATCAGCCTCCTTTCGTGTAGAGTCTCTTATAATCTTGTGGTTCAATAGGAATGAGCAAATCGAAGCTATCCCATGCGAGAAGTCGCTACTGTATGCATTCAAACGTGTTTTCTCGTTCACTTACATGATTAGATCCAGCAAGCTGCTCCTGCACTCACGGTCGACCAAGTTGCTTCATCCACTGGACTTCGCTACTTCGCCAGTGCTTTAGTTAGGGCCAGTTCAATTGAACCGATCGAATCTGTTAGTACACATAATATGCATGTATTATCAGAATAAAACTTTCTCTCCACCCCTTTCAAATCTCCATTGAACCAGTCATTTCATTCAATTAGGCACATATTTCAACGCATTGAAGTAATTAATATGTAAATAAACACATTCCAGAATATGCTAAAATACCCTAAAGGTAGGCAACTGAAAACTCATCAACGCATATAAACACCATTCCATAAAATAATTAAATTACCATAAATATTGTAGACTATTATATATTTTAAGACTTTAATTATAGTACAATATTATTTTTTAGAGTTCGGATTAGTTTTTATTTGATAAAAATTGCATGTATTTCATAACAATCGGTAGACAATTCTTAGAAAATATTCAAAGTATTCATAATAAAGTTCAGCTATAACATATAAAAAGTTATGTACTTAAAGTTTTATCAATACAAAGGTATACTTATTTTTCAATAATAAAATATAAATTTATTAGGAAATTTTGGAAAATCTCTGTAATTTTAAATGTTGAGATAGACATAGTGTAACCTATCTCGATTTAAACAACTTTCAAAATTGGGATGATGGATAAAAAACCTGAAGCGACTCAAATCCTCTTTTCTCTCTCCAAAGTCCCTCTCCTCTCTCCATCGTTGGTTGCCAAATAAATGAACGGGACAAAATAATGTTTTTTTTAATTGAAAAATCTGGTTTGGCGCAACGATGCTCCTTCAATAATTCATATTTCAATTAATTTCCAAATTCCATAGAGCACAATATTGGGGCACGAGGACGTTTTAGGGGAAATTTTTATATTTCAATAACATATATTTAGACCCCGAACTCGCTCCAAAACACATGCTAGCCTTTTTCATCCACACATATCATTTCCAAACACATGAAAAGGAGTTCAAACAAAAAAATTCAATAGATTACCCAACTTATAATAGGGTCAAAATAATTTGAACAATATTTTAATCTTGGAGGTGTCAAAGTATTTTCAGGGCATTTTTGTTTGTTGGTTGTATTATGAAATTTATTCTAGCCTAAATCCTTTTTTTTTTTTGTTTTCAATAATATATTTCCTATATTTTATCTCTCTTGATTTAGAAAAATATCTCTATTTTAATATTTAAGCAACTTTTACCATGTAGTTTCTTATATATTGTATATATGATTTATCTAAATGTTTTCATATGACAATGTTGGAATTTCGGAGATTAGAATAACAAAATAATGTTCTATATGAAATGTATAACAAATTGACACATTAAAAGGATACAAAGGTGTATTTGTTTATATATATATATATATATATAAGTCCAGAAAGAAGATAGTAGGTTGTATCATTGTCCATAACCCAATAACCTGCTTGTCAAGCTTTAGAAAGCACGAGATAGCCGAGCAGATCAATATTGGTTGTCATAAAGGGATGGGCCAGCAATTTGACACCGCCAATCCCATTGCAAGAGATTCACATACAGTGTGAATAGTTAACTTTCAAGCCAGCTAGCTGCAGCACAGTTTCAGAAGAAAACCAAAACCCCCATCACAAGTCCATGATATCGAGTGTAACCCCATCAATAATAAAGCCTAATTCAGAGCCTCCTTTACCTCAAATCCATATCTTTCCAACCCATTAATATTGTAATAATTGCTTTAGATATTTTCTTAACAAGAGAATTGGCAACATAACACAACAGACTTAAACCTCTCTATTAATTCATCTTCCATCCAGTATGTGTAGAGGTTTAATAGCTTAATTTTTGTTAAGGCCTATGTAGTTTTGTTTTATTAAGCTTTGGCCCCTTTTTGGAAAACAATCACATCTTCCTATGCTTCATATATTGTTTTGACTCCTACGCATATCTTTGTGTATCTTGCTCCAAATTTGTACACTTATAGTTTCCCATTCTTATATATTGGGTTGGATATCTTATTCCAATTAATGTCCAACCAATCTACAATTGTTTAAAATACATATTTCAAATCTTTTTTTTTTTTTGAATTATTTGATATTTATTACACAATGCATAAAACGTTGTATATCACAAATGTATATATGATGCATTTTAAAATAGAAAACCTTAAATCTATATATATATATATATATACACATATATATATATAATAATATATATATATATATATATATATATACTATATATATATATATATATATATATA